TCTAGGTAGCTGCCTCCCTGTATATGGTTCAGGCTGGGTCGGAAGGTGACTTCCAGTGGACATTAAATCCAAGGAAACACAATTTCAACACAGGTCACCTCATTGGGCACTCAGGACAGGGGCTCAGGACTGCCCCGCAGGGACACAGCTAAGCAGCACCTGAGAATAAAGCCTTCCCATCCAGGCCACAGCTCTGTCTCCTCTGGACTGCCCAAATCTCAAGTGATGTCCCAGTTTGAACCCATGACAATACATTCCCCATCCCCATGTAGTATCACATCATATAGTTTTATCTTTGCCCCCCACACACAAATGGAATTATTCCAATCATGTGGTAATTTAAGTCTCTTTCTTTGAGTTTGGGCTCACAAAAGGAGACACTGTGTCCACTCTGATCCCTCCTGGGATTTAAAAGGTGGAGCAGACCTTAAGGGTGTTTCCTAAGGAGATGCCCCTCCTCCTCCCTGCACTGGCCTCCACAGTCCTTAGGCTGAAAGCCGTGAAACCCAGTGTGCAGCTGAGGGGGAAGCAGTGTGTCGGTGGGACAGTTCTTGGCACCATCGCTGGATTAACACAGTTTTAGAGAAGGTCCACAGACAGGTGCTTTCTCTCACATCAGTACAGTATCAAGTGTTACCATCCCCGTGTGGTTATTATTTATCTAGTCAAAGCCTAATCCTAACACTTCAGACCAGATAGGAAAAGGATTGAAATCCTAACACTGGCAAACCGAGTCTCCATTTCCTCATCTGGAAAGAGAACACTACCCATCTACCTCGTGGGATTACAGAAAAATGTAAATAACAGAAGGGCCCTTAATCCAATCCCAGACCTGAGCGCTCACTTCCAGATGGCAAGGGCTGTGTCTTGTCTTTTATAATCCAGAACACTACTGAGACAGAGTCTAGGTGCCTAATTATTTGCTAAATTTTAGAGACAAAAGGTCAACAGACAGGAAGCAGCAGAACTGGTCCTTAAATCAACATTTTCAGATGATACAAAGGTCTCTCTGCAACATCAGCCTGCCTCTCTAGTGGCTTGAAAATATCGCTTTATCCCATGCAAAGCAGTCTGACAGGAGTGTGGGCCTACCTATAAATCCAGTGTGAACACAAAATACTTTCTGTCTGATCCTCTGTAACCTTCATCTCCCTTGTTTACTCTCTTGCCTAAGATCCTTTTCAAAGGAGTTTTCCTCTCACAAAAGAAACCCATATTTTATATTTAAATTTTTTAAATTAACTGTAGTTTTAAAGTCACAGGACACTCAGTTTTTAATTTAGACATCCAGACTCCAGAGTCACAACCGACAAGGACAGAAAAGCAGCAAGATCATGCCGTTGGTACCCAAGCTGCCAGCTCCTGCTAACTGACCAGCATCCCTTGCGAAGCCTCCAAAGCCAGGGCCCAGACGTCCACCACCTCCCCAAGTATTTTCCAACCATCATAACAAAAGTGTTTTGAAGCTCAAGATGAAAGGATTTAATCAAAGAGGCCAAGGTACAGGCTGCTAGGAGAAGAAAACATGAGAGCGATGGTTTCCATGTGATAGGGGACAGGAAGCATGTGGGCAAGAGGGGCTGGGGCTGGGCTTCCCGCCGCTGCAAAGAATGGCAAAGAGCAGACAAAATGCAGAGGTTGTGGTAAATCGCTTCCGGCCTCACTAGAGCACAGAAAATAAAAATAAACCACCCCGCAGAGGTGCTGAGCTGGAGGCACAGGAAATGTTAGGCTAGACCTCCACCTACTACACAGCCCAGCTCCTACAGAACCCTTCAGCTGAACAAACCCAACAACAGGAAGCCAACTGGGGGCAGGGCCGAAGAACAGTCCCTCAGCTAATTCTGTGTGTAAGGAGAACCACAGAGCAGGTCAACGGAGGCCTAACAACAAATTAGTCTCTTACAATAAGCCTTTACCTAAACGTAAACTCAAGATTACAAAAGCTGTCAGCAGGTTTTTGTCCTGTTGCAAATGGTGATGAAACACACCAAAGATGAATTTCCCATGGTGGTGACTGGCATGGAGAAATCTCCATCTCAGGCAACAGCTCATCTGATATTTGAGGATTAATATCTGTCCCATGTCCCTCAAGATCATTATGAAAATTTAAATCTGTATATTAAAGGCTCCAAAAACTGCAGTGTCTTCCCTGATAAAGTGATTATCTTTCCCAGGGTTTAACTCATTTGGTTTGTAATTCAAATGCTTTTATTTGAAATACCTATCCAATCAAGAATAAACATAATTCAGAGGTCTCCTGACATAGCTACACGACATTTGTATTAAGTGTCAGGCAAATTAAACTGCTTAGTCATAATCTTGGTGAACAGAGCCCCGGTGTGGGTAAGCTGTGGCCCATACCCACAGCCGTTTTTTATGAGTTATCCTGCGAACAAGAGAAAGTTCAGACTCCTCTCTAGGCATTCTCCTTCTTGAGTATTAGTGAGCTAATAAAGAAGAGGGGTCGAGGCTTTTTACCAGGTTTGTACGTAACTGCAAAATACACCAAAAGCTAAAAACCCGCTATGGTACATCGGTGCTTCTGAAACTTTTCAAAGCTCTTGAATCACTGGGGACTTTGTTAAAATAAAGATTTTGCTTATGTAGTTTTGGGATGAGGTCTGGGTGTCTCCTTTACAAATCAGTGACCACATGGAGAGTAGCAGGAATCCAGGGCGCTGCCTCTCCACGTGGCTGACATTGGAATCGCTTGGGGAGTTCAACTGTAGCTCCACCCCAAGGATTTAACAGGTCTGGTAAGACTCAGGTGTTAGAATTTTGCCTTTTAGTTCCTCAGGTTATGCTAATATGCAGCCAAACTAGAGAACCTCTGAGCATAACTCAGTAGTCAGCTACATATTAATAGCACAACTCTCAACACAGCTTGTATCCCATATACAGCAATCGTGAGCTCACATGATGGGCACAGGGCTGCTCATGATACATGTACATATGCCTAGACTCAGGCCAACAGACCTCTGCTCTACCTAACCTCCCTACACACCCCAGTACAGGAGTTCTAAACACACTAGTAAGTTTTCGGTCTCAGCTACATTCCCCAGCCCTTTTTAAATAGTCTTGATTTGCGACAATGTCTCACCAAGTTGCCCAGACCAGTTTTGAACATGAGATTCTCATGCCTCAGCCTCCACGTAGATAGGACAAGAGCGAGTCACCGTACTCGGTTCCATCCAACCTTTGTCATGAACTGATTGTAAGACTACTAGAAATTGGAACTCTAATGTCTTCACCTATCCAACAAGGATTGTTAGCCCTAAGATAACTGCAAGAATACAACATTCATGAAGGTGCTCAGGAGAATTTCAAGTCCTACAAATCAACATGCACATAACTCCTTCTTTCTGCACTCGGCTTACACCACCTATAAAGATACATACTTCAGGCCAAGCCTGATGATACGGGCCTGTAACCCCAGAATTCTGAAGGCTGAGGCTGGAGGATCGCTGAGTTTGAGGGCAGCCTGGGCTACACAGTAAATTCAAGAGCATCCTGGACTACAGAGCTAGACAGTATCTCAAAAAAACAAAAATAAAAAGTTTCTGAAATTGTTCTGCTTTGACCTGTATTATGTTGTTACGTCCCCGTTTAGCTCAATCTCCCCCTTTTTTAAAAAATTTATTATTATTTTTTAAAGGAAAAAAAATCAAAAAAATTAGGATATATTATAGCAATTTTTTTGATTTCCTATTAACTTGATTTGAAGCCCTGTATTGCTCCTATCTTGTTTTGACTGCTTTTACTCTGTTCTGTTCTGTTTGATAGTATCAAGTTTGAGGGTATAGGCAACTACCTTGAAAACAATAAGATTCACTATGACGCCCATTCTGATTTGAATACTATCATCTTTTGAAGTCCGGTAATGTCTCCAATGGTTAGGTTTTATTGGTCTTGTTCTGTACTGTTTTGTTCAATTTTATTATACCTGATGATATAGGCAATTCTTTTTAAGGTAGCAAGAGGCATTATGGTAACCATTGTTGATCACCTTGTATTATTTTTACATTACGTACTATGTCCATCCTTTGTTTTGACTTTGTCATATTTGGTTTTATTCTCTTCCAAAAAACAAAAAGTAATAAGAACTATGGGAGTAATAAAATCCAAAATGTGTAAATGTTATTGTAAAAAAGAGAGGAAAAGAAAGTGCTCTAAAGGATACAACTGGCAAGTGTGTTTGGGTGTGTAAGATAGATGACCATATTACTTTTTGTTGGATCATTGAACACAACTGTTTGCATTCTCACTGTTTGAATGTCCACTTTGTATGCTTTAATCCTGTAACTTGAACAACTATTTCTAAGATGACAATATGTAATCTATTAACAGTGATGACAATCTGTAATCTATTAATTAACAGTGATTTCTTTTTTTTTAATTCTGTATTACTTGTACCTTTATACTGTTTTGTTTTTTTCCTTTAAATAAAATTTTTTTTTAAAAGTTTCACCTTTTACTACCACAGCATGTTAAAACCAATGTAAACATGAGCATAAGCTTAGTTCAGTTCCTAACTTAGCACTTAATGGTACAGTTCCTGGCATGCATTGCGAGAAAAGCAGGGAAGGATTAGCAAAGGGTTATCCACTCCAGGAAAGGCCAAAGGACGCCATTTCCTAGGGCGGTGACGTGAGCCTTTTAGACGAGTGCCCAACCGCAATGCAAAACCCACCTACTTATCACAAGCTGCCAGCACTGCACTTGAACCTGAAGACTGAGGGTTCAGTTTAGAAAACAACTCACACATTAAAATCTTCTTTCCTAAAAGAAAAACAACACACGTGCCTCCAAAGGCTCGCCTCCACCGTTCTCAGGTAGCAGCACTGTATTTTGTCACTCACTTCAAATACGTGATTAAAAACAAAGATCTAGGTCCATAGCTTTAAGTTACCAATTCATAAACAGTTTATTTTATTAGCACACCCTCGTGAAGGGAAAAATGATTTCTCAACCAATAAAAATGAAGTCAGAGGCATACAGGAGGATGGCACAAAATGTTTTAATCTGGAGGGTAAACAGTAACAATGCGAAGGTCCTGGTAACAAATATCCATCACGAAGCTGGTGCGAGAACCTCGGGGCCCTCCACCTACACACCAGAGCAGGGCTGGTAATGAACACAAATCTGAAACATCCATCTAAGAAATCGTATCCAGGAGACATTAAAAAGTGAACCTAAAAAAAAAAGAAAGAAAGGTAAAATGATTTACGATACTGCGGACAAGACCCCAAATCTAAACTCAGGACAGTATTTAAGCCAGACTAGAATATCCACAAAGAGATAAACATTTTCTACAAAATATTTTAATTCAAGTATTAGCTACAAAAATAATGTTCAAGCCGGGTTTGGTGGTCACACATATAATCCCAGAATTCTGGGAGGCTGAGGCAGGAAGATGGTGAATTCGAGCCCATCCTGGGTAAAACACCAAATTAGTAGGATCCTATCTCAAAATAAAAAATACAGAAATAGAGACGCAGCTCAGTGTGAAGGCCCTGTGCTCAGTCCCCAGTACTGATGAGGATGATGACGATGATGACAATGATAGTGTTCAAACCTAAACTCTGAACCCACCCAGACACAACTGACTAGAAACTGAGAAACCTGAGTTCTAACTCTGGTCATCAGTGACCTGGGACCACAGGAGTCACTCTGACTCCCTGGCCACTGACTCTTCGACGGGGTTGCAGTCTTGTCAGATCCTCTCTGAATCTAGAACACTTATAAAGCAGTGATTTCCAGTTTAGAGGAACACAATAGAGAAAGGATTCAAGAAACAAAGTAGAGAAAAATCCTCAGCCTCAGATTTAATGAAAGACCAAAAGAATAAAAGGGGGGAGTAAAAGAAGAAATAACTTAGTTATTACTGGTTGGAGCTTTGGGGGTTTTTGGTTATTGTTTTGTGGTGCTAGGGATCAAACCAAGGCCCCTGTGCACTCTGAGCAACTGTTCTCCCGCCGAGTTACAGTCACAGACCTTCTTTTCTCCCCAGTTGGCCTCACACTTGGCAAGCCCCTGTGTCAGTCTCTTGTGTACCTAGGATTACAGGCAAGAGCCACTGCACCCAGCTTCATGCAGTTTTCATTTAAACATTAGCTTTGATAAGAAGGTGCAAAATAACACCAAGAAAAGTGGTGACACTGCTCCTAGAGCCATGTGAAACTAGAACCTGTAAAGTAAGAGGTAGTTCCCTCCCAGAACAATACAGGCTTCCTCTGGCATTCCTCGGCGTCAGCTTCCCGGCCAGAGGACTGCAGCGTGGCCAGGGAGGCACCAATGCAATGTTTCCCATCAGAAGCAACCGACTTTCCCCCATCTGTCATAAACACACTGTAATATTCTACATATGCCATGAATTGAAAAGAGGCCGGGGAATGCTACCTTTCAGAAGAGCCAGGCTCTCTATCTCAGTAGGTAAAGGGCACCATCTTACTTCGTGTGATCTAGAAGTTCTAGCATCAATTTAAACTCTTTAACTTCTAGACTCTTTAAACTTCTAACCATAATGTTTTTACTTAACTATCATTGACATTTAAAGAAATGCTACACAACTTCACAATGTTCTTCTATCGGTGGAATTGTGGCAAATGTATAAAAGAAGAACAAAATTACTGAGCAAAAAAATGTTTATACTGCTAAACAAGGTAAAACAGGACTGGGCGGGGGTGGTGGTGGTGGTGGTGGTAATAGCTCAGTGCCACAAGCACCTGCCTGGTAAGCACAAGGTCCTGAGTTCAATTCCCTGATGGGGTGGGGGGCGGGAGATTAAACTAGCCTATTAGAACTTGTCTTTTTTTTTTTTTTTTGGTCTTTTTTGTTTTTATCAGTACCAGGGATTGAACTCACAACTGCCTGCTTGCAAGGCAGGCACTTATGCCGCTGAGCTAAATCCCCAGCCCCAGAACATGTCTTTTCTACTGAATGTGTTAAAGCAAACACTGCCAATAGACTACAGACCTACAGCATCAGTTCTTATGGTAAGAGAGGCCATTTCAGTGAAAAAAGCTATGATACATTCAGAATTAGCCATCTTAGTTTAATACAAAAGTCAATTTCAAGATTTTATATTAAAACATTTTTAAAATCTAAGATGTTGAAGCCAGTCAATGTGGAAGGTAAAACGGACTCATGAGAACAAGAATTCAGATAACACCTTTCACATAATCCCATTGACAAAGGTCTGCTCTCTTCTTTTAAGGTAAAGATATATTTACCAGACACTATTACAAAACCAGAGGTCCCTAGGGTTCTTTGATGTGTTAATTCAACAAAGTTGAAAAGAATGGTTAAAAGAATGTTTTAACTGTTAACCAGGGGATAAAAGTTTTGGGAAACTGATGAATAAAATGTCCTCCCCTAATACAGAGACATACAAAAAATATGACACCTATTGAGAAAAGATAACAGAATTTCTTCAGTCTATTTCACCCATGAAGACAGTGGCATTTGATCAGTCTGTTCTCATCATAAAAGAAAGCAAGGCACAACACAAAGAACTGTTAGAAATAATTATTCCTCGTGTAGATAGAAATTATGCCAGACAAGGTCATTTCCATTTGGAATGTGTACTTTTCTCCAGCACCCTCTCTATTCAAACACCAGCACTGGGCAGATATGATCAAATGCTGATTTTCCTTCTAATCTATCTCATTGGAACCTGGACACCCAATTAAAACAGAAATTGGAGATAATATGAATCAAAGACTATTCTGCAGAAATTCCAAGTTCAGAGCTCAGTGTGAATCACCATAATTTTAGAAAGTACAGGCCAGATATTTCTAAAATTGAAAGGAGCCTCAGAGATCAGCTACACTAATCATCCTTTTTAGAGATGAGAAAACTGCAGCCTGACTGACAAATGCACTGTCCAGCCAGCAATGTGCTGTCCTTCACTACAGCCACGAGCTACAGGTGACTTCAGTTAGTTCAAATGTAATGAAATGAAAAATGCAATGCCTCAGTCACTCAGCTACATTTCAAATATTCAGTAACCACATGTGGCTGGTGGTTACCACACCGGGCAAAGCAGACCCAGACTATTTCTCCACTGAAGAAGACAGGGGTCCTGCGTCACCCTCACCAGATAAAGTCAAGACTCCTGATCTTCATTATCCTGCATTTCTCTTGCATATGTTAAGAAACTTGGCAGAAACATATAAAAATCTGAGTCTCTCCTAAGTTATTTCCATTTTTTAAAAAAGCAAGTTTAATACTTTTAATAAAACCTTCTAATTGAAAGATGTATATATTCATCATGCAGAAGTTTTTGAACATAACAGAGAGCAAGACATATCAAAGTTTGGAGTCCAAATGCCCATTATTAAAATCCCCATTAGTTCAGAGCCTGGTGCAACTGCCTCTACTGTAAAATGGGAATGCTACTACTCGTCTGCGTTCACAGGATGAATGGTAAAAATCACGTACATTCAATGCAGGTACAAAAAATGGGGAAGGTAGGTTGGATAATGCAGGCCACTCCAAGCTTCTGTGCCCTTCTGTCCCTAGCTCAACACTGCCTACACCTGGTCAGATGTAAACTGAGCCCTGACTCAGCACTGAAACTTACTCGGACCTCTGCTGCCCCCCTATGACTGGAAAGAAACTGTTTTACCACAAAGATCAGTAGTTTTTTTCCTCAGACAACTTCTCTTTGGTCTGGTGGTAGTACATTCTCTCAGCAAAGGAAATGTACAACCCACTAGGTGGCAGTACAGCCTAAAGAATAACATTAAGCTTCCCCTCCCGAGGAAATTCTCTAAATTTACCTTTGACAAATTCAAAAGTCAACACAATTGCATATTTGTAAACATAACTGCCTGTCACAGTTAAAATGTTCTGCCCAACCAGGCAGCCTCTTTGCTTTAGCTAGGAGTGAACACTGAATGGGGTGGGGAGGGTATTTGAGAAAGAATCTTGCTGTGTCGCCCAAGCTAGCTTTGAACTATGTAGCCCAGGCTGGTCTCAGGATCATAGGGATCCTCCTGCCTCAGCCTCCTGATTGCTGGCATTATAGGCATGCATTGCCATACCAGGCCTGAACGCTGAATTTTAAGGACAGGTCCATCATATGAATGAACACTTCACCTTGGGCACTCTGTCTGGCTGTGTCCTGCTCATCTTCCCTCTGACCCAGGGCTCAAGTATCAACTTTAATTTCCTAACTACGACCCAGTCTATCTCTGTCCCTTTTCCTTAGGTCTTTTCAGAAATCTGTAACAGACTGACATTATTTGAAAAGAATTTCAAATAAACATGTAAAAACAAAACAGGAAATAATTACAGGAAGCATTACATTTTTAATACCTGAATCTACTGAGTTTTGGCATCACACATTCATTCAAAAGCTTATTGCCACCTCAGTGCACAAAACTGATCATCATGTCAAGTATGTAAGGATTCTTAAGGCTCGCAGGCAGGCATACTGGGAGCATTTTTACCTTATATTTTCATTATAATTAAAAGGTCTATTCTTGACTACCTGGACAGCCACATAGAATCAGTATTGACAACATATTAGAACAGCTAACTTTTACCATAGGGTTAATCAAACTACTATCTTTGGATATGTTTTCAGAAAACTACAAAGCCTCAAATTTGGAAAAGGTTATAGTAAGAAATCCACACATTACACTAGTACTGGCTGAACAAAAGTGCCATGAAATTTAAATCTTACAGGAAATAAATGATGCTATCATCTTTAATTTGTTCAAAACCTGTCAACTCCAGGTAATAAATATGGAATGTTTGTTGGTACCAGTACTTTTTCTGTCTTTTTAAAATTCTCATAACAAGAATAAAGACAATGATAAAACACTTGTGATATTTTTTTAAATGTACTTCCTTAACTCTGCAATTGGCAAATACTATACATATAGTAAATAACTGAGCAAAAATAGGGTATAGAAATAGTTGGGTTTTTGAAGTTGGACTGAATTATGAGATTTATCAGTTACAAGAATTCTAGCAAAACTCTCCTAGCCTATAAATAAGAATAGCAAGCCTATCCTTATGGTGCCAACTTTGAAAATGAAATGAGACACAGAACAAGAATCATTTAAAAGCATGATATACCACAGTATCTGTTAACTTTCTTCCTCTAGAATTTTCTTTTACTAAATAACATTTTCTTCTGATCCGCTTTTTCCAGCATGGCCCCTAGTTTTAAATATCACTCTCAAATTCATGCAAGATCAGTTACACTACAGATGTTTATTTTTTCTACATCCAGTACTAAGTTGAAAAATATAGAGAACATTCAATCTGTTTTATGCGACCTTCTGAATTGGTATAAATATTGAGAATTCACTTGGAAGCTATTTCTAACATATTTTGGTACACTGTACAGATAGTTGAGTTAAAACCACATAAAAGGGGCAAATAAATGTATATTTAAAAAACCACAAGTGGGCAGGATAGTCTATGTCAAAAGAAGGAAAACACTCTGGGCAGTGGCCCAGAGAGTATTTTTCTATAAACATACATACTGCCTTCTACGGGGTGATTTAACACTGCAATCTGGCACTGGAAGATTCCGTTGTTCCTTGGGCCATAATTCCCAGCTGAACAGGTGGTTCTATGTCATCAATATGGTCTGCAGTACAGTTTCTGCTGAGGCTGCTTTTTTGTGGCTTTTTTTGTTATTATTGTTATTGTTATAACTTTGAAATACTAAAGTCTCTGCAGCAGACTCCTCCTCCAGTCATGATGATCACAGGAAATAATTTTCCATGATTTGTTATCTCTCTGAGGCTAGAGAATATCCTTGAAATGTTTGCTCTGTTCCCTTCCTAAGTACACACCATGACTCATCTAAAAAAAGAATTTCAGAAACACAGAAGAAGGCAATCAGAAGACATAGGGCCTTTCCAACAGTCTCTATCAGAGAGGCCAAGAGTTATAATGTTTCAAGCATGAGAAAGGCAATGCTGGAGGTCAGTTTTCTAGGCACAATCAAGGTTACCTACTGCAACAGTTAACTAGTCCCTGGTAAGAGACGCCATTCCACAGGGCACACAACTCAACTACTGCCCAGCGCTCAGACAACACAGTCCTGCCCTCCTGTTTCTAACAGCATGAAGTTCAGATCTCTGGGGAGGCTCCGGCCACACTACATTTCAAGTGTTATGTTTACATGTCTTCTCCTCTCCTAGACTGTCCACTTTTAAAAGCAGACACCACGGGGGCTGGGGATTTAGCTCAGCGGCATAAGCGCTGGCCTTGCAAGTATGTGGTCAAGAATTCAATCCCCAGTACCAATAAAAAAGACAAAAAAATGAAATAAATTAAAAATAAAAGCAGACACCACATTTTACTTTTCTTTGTATTCCATAAGACAAGTGAATCCCAATAACAGGCAAAAAGCTCAGGACAGAAAAGGGAAGGAAAACTCAAGTCTTCACTAGGTTTCAAGGAGTTAAACTGTACTAGGAGAGCAGAATGAGGTGGTTCACTCAAATTTTTTCAGTGAAATAAACTGATCTCTACCAACTTACTAGACTAAAAATAAAATCTCACCTGAACAGAAATGTTCTGGAGGTAGTATCAAAAAAAGGATTTTATATTATAGTAACTGATTAATTCGTGCCACAAAATGAAGTTCAGTCAGTATCACTATTCCACTTGCACACAGCTGCTCTAAATCTCATGTTAGACTTCCCTGGATTAGTAAAATATGATAGCTTTCCATGCAGTGACAAGAAGATATGGGATATGCTCCCCCAAACAGGATGTTATGTTGGAAGTTTCTCTTTTCTCTACCACCTGGTAACAGCATTACCATTAAAGTCTCTAGTGCACCATCATCAGTGAGCTGCATGAGCACTGGGCAGCAGGAGATGACAGACACTGCCTCTGTAGCCACCCACCACGCAGCTGGGAGAGGCTACCAGACTGTCCTGGGTCTCTGCTTCCTCATACAAAAGCAGTAATTTTGATACATAGTTTGGAAAGCATCTGCATACTTATTAGAGCCTCAGGATTTCACTTGGGAGGGAAAGATGAAGAAGAAAGCGCACCACACGTGACGGAGAGGGCAAGCAGGCAGGGCTGTTCGATTTCTGTCAGTCAAAACAGCTCTAGTTCTACTTCTGCTGCTGCTTCTTTTTTTTCTACCAGAATTCTATATAAGTTTATTTGGGAAAAAATAGCTTCACGGCTAGCCAAAGTAAAAGAGCAAATAAACCAAATGGCACCATACTTTATGTTTTAAATATTCTCCCAAGTTAATCCAATCTCCCCAATAATTTCCATGTAGGGCATTAGCAAATGGTCATACTCATTCCTTCAACTTATAGTCCTTTCAGGTGTAAGTCTACACTGTGCACTATGAAGACAATGACCCAGCATTTAAAGTCATCTAGGGTTAAAATAAGAAGCTTAAAAGCAAATAGATCTAAAGGCAAAATCTGCAATTAATGTTCTTCAAAACTTTGAGTTGTTTTTAGTTACTGATGTAAAAATTACAGTATTAATCACAATCACTTTCAGTTACTGCAACATTTCTAAAACAGGAGAATAACCAAAAATAGTACCACTGCTGAATTATATTAATGCATACTTTGAAGAGCACTGGAAAATTCTGCAAGTGTCTTAGTCGTTAATATGGGAATCCCAAACATGACCAATATCAGTTCCATCTAATCTCTCTTTCTAAAATCAATATCACAGGACAAGAGCTATGATCATCACTTACATTTTCCCAGTCGTCTCCTCATTAAGCATGGGAACAATTCAGCCAACGAAGTTCATGACAACAAGGTGCAGGATTGTGCTGGCAAAAAGAAAATCAGCAAACGCCCTCTCTGGGGATATGCCTTGGAAGTCCGCTTTGTTCTGTGGATTGATCTGTATTCTCAGGCACACTGCGCAAGAAATAAAACAAGAATCATCTGGATGTAGAAAACAAATACAACTGCTAACGAGTACACATATATCCTAGGACACAACAAACAACTGTGCCCTGAAATGACTGTACATGCACAAGGTGCTTTCCAATGTGTAGCAGTACTCTGCATCTTGACCAAGATGATAGATTGGCGAATTTATTTCTTCACAAATTTTTATTTTTATTAGTACATGTTTGCAGTACATAATGACTGCATTTATCATGGAGGGTCGTTATAAATACATAACACATTTTAATTCCTTTTTCAACCAATACCTCTCCTCACCTTCCATCTCTCAATCTTTCATTTGCATAAGCTCTAGCTCTACATTTTTCCTTTCAAATCTTCCTTTCATCCCCTTTCACTTTTCTACCTTCTCCCTCCATCTCTTATTCCCCTTTTCATTGAAAATTACCTCTATCATCTGTCATCTTTTATTTGTATTTTGCATTTCTCATATATGAGAAATGATGCAATATCTAAGTGTGTATGTCTGATTTATTTCTCTTGATATAATGGTCTCAAGGTATATCAACCTCATCAAGCTATAGACAAGTTTTGCACTCTTAAATGTCTATTGAAAGAGAATTCAAAGAAAAAAATGACTTCTCAGAGTTACACTAAAAACCAGAGACTTAACAGAAAAAAACATACATAAACAAAAACCAAAACCCCTAAAAACTCTGTTATCTCCTGATATAAATGTTTCTTTAAAACAAATCAGCTCAGCCAACCTATTAGATAGAAATGTAACTGAGACAAAAACACAAGAGCTGGGCTGAATGGCAAAACACAGAGTCATAAAAACTGAATTATTTTCTAATAGAATATGTGTACACTGGACAACAGAGACTATAATGCTGATCCCTGAAGACCTTATATTGCAAATAAACTATCTTTGATCTAAAGTTCTAGCAGGCGCTGGTCTCAAAACAAGGAGACCTAAATTATGTAATTTGACAGAACTCTCCACTGTCACATTTATGTACCCTTGAAGACTCTAACAAGGCACATTAGCAACAGTCATCAGTGACATGAAAAGGAAACTCCCGACTTTTCCGAAATACCCAATGCCTGTGATAAATAACCCGACTGAAGAAAACTCAAATTTGCTTCAGGCTAACATCCATTCTATCACTAAAAAAGAGCAATGAACTAAAATCTCATCCAAAGGTTAGAAAACTATCAGACTAGTTCTCCAGAGTCCATCACCACAGAAACAGCTCTCTCATTATGTTTAAACATGTAACACTATGGGTGGGCGCCACTGATCTCCTCAGGCACCCAGCCCCTCCCGAACGGGAAGGACATGGACTGCAGCAAGGGCAACCAATTAAAATCCTGCTGCAGGAAGTAGAGATGGCTTCTCTGTTTGGGAAAGCAACAAGCAATATCCATTAATATTTAAAATGTTTTTACATTTTGACAAAGGAGTATCTTACAGAACATTCTAACAGCATGTTTGTTAAATTGAAAAAAAAATAAAATAGTCCTAAAATTATCAAACAGATTAAATTATGCTCTAGATATGCAATGAAATCCCATGCAATTATTTTAGAAAGTAAGGCAAATTCTTTATACTCCAACATAAAGCTAGTCACTTTTACTAAGTGAAAAAAGTCAAAACAATTACTCCACTCTATATCTCTCTCCTTTAAAATATTTTCCTTGTAATGGTATATGTAATTCTTTGGTCATTACTTGTAGTTGGAATCTAAAAAAATCTGGAGAAACAAGACACTAAATGTATTGATGACAATGGGAGTAGAGAGTAAAAGGTAATAGCATTCTGGAGGCAAGTTAGGGAACAGAAGAAAAAGCACTGCGAAGGTAGGTAAAGTCAGGAACGGTGTTATCCTAATCATGATCACAGTAACACAAATTATCACAATGCCAACCTAAGAATCAGAATCCCACAAGGACAAAGACGACCCAGAGTGCATAAAGACCAACACTCCACTGATGTATGAAACACCCAAAAGGCAGAGGATGGGGAAATCATTGGAATCACCTGGGAAGATTTCCAAAGTATACTTACCCTTTACACAACTTAATAAGTTATGCCCAGGAGGAGAATTACAAACACTCCAGATCCTGTGTCACTAGTAAAAGTGTCCTATCTTTCATATGAACTGGGAACAAAAAAAGGTAAAGGGCTTTACCTCTTCAAAAAACTCCTTCACAAAGAATCTTATGTCTCCCTGTGTGCTTCCAAAGATGGAAATTTACTACCACCTGAGGTAATCTCCTCCACTTTAGAAGTTCTAATTTAATCTATCTCATTAAATAGTCGTTCATTCCACAAAATATTTACCGAGCTTTACTACAAGTCACGCATCATGCCAGGTGCTGGGAACAAGGCAGAGGACAAGAAAGACAAGAATTTAGATTCTAAGAAACTTGTATGTCTATCAAATGAAACATATGGCAAATGTTACAAGTAAATAAACAAACAAGGAAATATCAGGACAATAGAGATGGGAAAGCATTTTTTTATTCAGTCATCACCGAAAGTCCTTTAAGACGCCGCTACCTAAACCCAGTATTTCAAAGATCTGGGGACAGAGAATTCTAGACAGTGAAAAGAGTCTTGACATATTCTAGGTATAACAAGTCAAACTAAGGCCGGGGATTTAGCTCAGTGGCTTAAGCGCCTGCCTGGCAAGCGCAATGTCTTGAGTTTGAGCCCCGGTACCAAAAAAAAAAAAAAATCCAACAAGTCAAACTAAACAGACAGTAGTGATCAGGAGAAGACAAACACTGTTGGGCTTTGAAAGCCTCAGAAAAGTGTTTGGACATAATTTTAAGTGCAATGGGACAGTATTTCAAAGGTGTTAGTAGCTAAGAAACATAACTGATTTACATTTTTAAGGTTGCTAGAAATACAATATGAGGGACAGTTTGCAGGTTAAAGAAATTACTTCAGAGCCAAAGACGACAAGATAATCATAGTAAAAATGGACAAAAATGAAAAGATAAGACTATATTTGGGAGAAGACAGAGCTTGCTGATAAAATGGATGTGAAAGATAAAATGAAGCATAAGAGTAACCTCCTATATACCATGACTCAACCAGTGTTGACATCATGTACTTTCTTGTAAAGGGCCAGACAGCTGAGCAGAAAGGTTCCATTTTGGACATGTTAATTTGAAGGAACCCAGCAGACATCAAGTTGAGGCAATGAGCTGGCAAATGAATAGACTAACTTGGAATTAAAAATGTAAGTATTGAACTTGTAGATATTGATTATTCAAATAGGTTATTCATAACTTATTATAGATAAGTTATTGAAATTCAACTATGTAAAGAAACACAAAGTGAAAGGACCTTAAACAGAGAAGCATCCAGCAGAAACAGCAGGAAAGAAAAATTAGTGAGAAGTAACAAGCAGAATAGGATTATAAAAGCTTTAAAAAAAAAGTACTGCATTTCACTTTCAAGGAAGCAACTATATTAAATGCTAGATCTGCAGTGTAGTCAGATAATGCAAAGCAGATGATATTAGACTGGCAATAGGCAAGAAGAGTTTGGGGAAGCAGTGAGAATAGACTAGCACCAAAAGTAGGTTCAGGGATGAATGAAAAGTGAGCAATTAGAAATGTTAACCAGATTATTCTTTCAACAATTCTGTGATGTAGAAGAAATAGGAGTAATGCCTAGAGTCAAGTGGATTTTTTTTAAACAGAACAGTATTTGAGTGTGTTAAAATGATGACCGTGATCCAGTAAAGAAACCAATGGTGCCCCTCATGGAGCAAGACTGAATGGACTCTGACTTGGAGCTGGATGCCGGCAAGGAAGAGCCACATCCTCCACTACAGCAGACCATCAGTCAGAATTTACGGGTACAGGTGGAGGTGGGCTGCTGCCACTCGGTGGAAGACAAAAGGGCTAGGTACTTAGCAAGTTCCTATTCTCATCCAAAATTCTCCACCAGCACTGTACCCATAGTTATTTGCCTGTATAGCCTCCCACTAGACTCTACTTAATGACAACAGGGATTACGTGTGCTTTATCAGTTGAATCTCTAGCAGAGAACCTGGCCTTAATTGTTGAGTGTTTCTTAAATTATTATATGTATGTCCACACTTCAATATACACAGCACTAGGAATAGAGGTTTCAGGGATGAAAGCCCCTGCCCTCAAGATGGAACAACAAATACTATACAAATGTCCCATCTATCTCCCTCCAAACCCCTCCCCCAACACATACTCACATAGTGAAGCAGGAATCAGATCTGCAGGGAAAATCCAGAAAGGGTTCCAAAGGAAGGAATACTTAAGTTGTGAAATCTAAGAAATGAAGGAAGTTTGAAGACAGCCAAAGATAAAATAAAGCTTGTAATCATGGAATGACAGAATGACAGAAGCTCAGTAATGCTAGAGCATAAAGTATGGAGGAGGCAGAGATAAGAGAAAAAGATGGATACTGGGAAGCCCAGACCCTGAAAGAACTTATGTGCCAGTGGAGTCACACGTCACACAAAGACGGTTGCACCCTGGTGAGAGGAGCAGAGGCTGCAGTAAACCGTGGCATCCTGGAGGGAAAACTTGGGAGGTGAGTGTAAGGCTCAAGACGGCAAATCATAAGCCAGGTGATAACATCAAGGAAACTTCATTGATATAGCCAAAAAAATTAAACAACCTTCAGAAACGGACAGGAGTCTACTTGAACACGGATCAGCATATACTGGACTCAATGCTGCTTTCTGTGGTCTAAATCGCAAAGTCTTTTTCGGCACACATTGCACATAACAAAGGCTTGTACAGTTGCTGGCTTACTGATGGCAGCGATCCCATTTGTGTCAGCAAATGCCTCTTACCCAAATTTTGGGATTTGAATTGTGAAATCTGTACCATGACACAGGCTGGTTTAGTTTTGGGTGGTCTGTACCCTGTTTGCTTGGCTAAACCTTTGAATGGTTGTCTTGGCAGCCAGCATCAATCAACCCTGCTACCAGAGGAAGGAAGTATCTTAACATAGTGGATTAGAATATCCAAGCCTCTCTTTAGAAAGATGTTATTTCCCCTTTTATTTCAGACTTCGGTTGCTGCATACCTTGAATCTAGACAATATAAACTACTTATAAAGGCTCTTCAGTTACCTGAACCAACCCTAGAAATACACTGATTTTTTTTTAACCAAATACATATGCAAAAATAAAATAGTAGGGGAAAAAAAAAGAACTTATGTGCCACAAAACTCTGTTAACCTTATTTTGAGAACCAGAAAGATATGGGGAGTGACATAATCAGATTTGCAAGTGAAATCAAGCATGCAAGCCTGCAAACCTCTGGAAAATGGACTAGAAGAGACACCAGAGGCCGAAGGTCAGAGAGGAAGACCATACAAGAGACCTGAGCGCCTGCGCACTGAGGTTGAAGAGGCAGCAATGAAGGTATTCAGGAAGAAGACAAACAAGGGCAAGGACGGTGCACTTCTCTCCTAGGCAGCAGTTACAGGAAACATTAAAAACAATTCCCAAGAAATGCTGAGCCCCAGTAACTACATTAGGATAGAAAACACTCTGGATTAAGCCTACTTGCCTTTCAAATTCAAACTCCTTTTGAATTTGTAAACTAATAACAAAACTTTTTAACTTTAAAAGCCAAAATTGCTTCATAGGTTACAGAACAGAACAGGCTAAAGTTATAGTGACTTAATTTCAGCACAGCTCAGCATAGAGTGTTTGCCTAGCATATGGGGAGCCCAGGGCACCAACAAAAAAAACAGAACAAAAAACTAATCTGATGGCTGGGGATTTAGCTCAGCAGCATAAGCGCCTGCCTTGCAAGCAGGCAGTCATGAGTTCGATCCCTGGTATCGATAAAAACGAAAAAGACAAAAAAAAAAAAAAAAACCTAATCTGATTTCAAGCCTTATTTTAAAGATAGTCTTACTGTTTCCACTTATCTCTTCTAAACAACACTTTAAATGTTCACAGATTTGTTAGGTTAAAAGGGGGATGGGCTAAAAAGCTGCCAGCACTTGTTTGGGGGTTTTTTTGGTACCAGGGATCAAATGCATGACCTTGAGCTTGCCAGGCAGACACACCACTGAGCTAAATCCCCATCCTGGAGCACTGGAATATTACTCTCAAAAAGGGACAGCTGTCTTCCTATAATGATAAGACACACAGCTGCTAAGGATGTTTGAGCCTTGTCTAGAAGAAAAATTTTGTGTCTCAGTTTTTGTTTTGTTTTTGGTACCACATATCAAACTCACAACCTCACACTTGCCAACAAGTACTTAAAACTCACTTAGCTATATCCCTGGCCCACCAGAAGTCTTTTTAAAGACTACTATACCACTCTATTGATCAAAAAAATAATATACTGTAATGTGATATATATACTTTTCATGCTGTACTGGTAATTTTCCTGAAAATCTTAAGTCTTCCTGAAATCATGAGTAAGTCTTTCAGCCATGAAGGTAAAGAAAAAAAGAAAAGATTGCCTTCATATTATTGGGTTCAAATAGGTTCTTTTACAAATGTGGTAGCATTCGAAGTTGGTTTAAAATGTACTATTTTCAAAGAACACACACTAAATTAATACACACAAAGGGAAATAAACTACCAAGAAAAGAAAACCCTAGGAAATCACACTAAAGAATTCCTCCTTCCAACTCATCCTACATGCTAACAACAATTTTAAGTCTTCTTTGTTCAAAAAAAGAAAAAAAAAATTTAGATGCTCTCCTGTAACCTACAGTCTAAATCCTTTGGCCTGGTACCTAAAACTCCAGCATCCAGCACCACCTACTCTTTCAACATAATCGCTGTTCGCCAGCCAAACTGGCCTCCTTCATTCAGAAAGAAAAAAAGAGAAAAATATCACCAAGTACAAGATTTCCTTTCTGTACAATCAGAACAATTGATAAGCATCCAAAATCTCAAGTTTCCTGTTAAAGCAGATCTCTACTAGCAGCATAAGTGGACCAAAATGCAGATGGATACCTTTCTGAGCCAACAGTGAATCATCATGTGTCCTTTCTTTTCCTGAAGCCACATTTTGTTATTTTACTTGATTTTTTTAATACTCAAAAAAAGCCCTCTCATTTTTTTTAGCTGACACTGCGCTTATGCCTTCCTTACTTTCCTGCCGTGCTCTGCTCCTCAGGAAGGAAAGCACGCTTGGTCCTGCCACACACAGGTGTAGCACAGAACCAGGATAGGCCCTGCTAACACGTTTCTAAGGACAACTGCATAGGAACTTTCGGTCTCGTAGCATGCATCCTCCATGTCTGTCTAGGCACAAAACACTTGCGGATTTTGGTGGCTTGTTTTTGATTTTTGGTACCAGGGACCAAACTCACAACCTCACGCTTGCCAAGCAGGTGCTGTGCCGGTGGGCTACATCCCTAGCCCCTTGAAGTCATTCTTAACCTAGAGGTTTAGGAAGCCAGGATGACTTCACCACCCATCCCAGTAGTGAGGATTCAATTCAGGCCTTATTGCTGAACTATATCCCTTCTCCACTTTTTTGTTTTCAGATAGGATCTTGCTGAGTCACAAAGCTGGTCAGGATGGGTTTGAAACTTGGATTTCTCCTGCCTCAGCTTCCCAGCGTCCTGGGATTACAGGCCTGGACCATACCACACAAGCTGAAACTTCTTTTTAAACTCACTTTATAGCCCAGACTAGCCTTGAACTCACAGTAATCCTCCTACCTCAGTCTCCCAAGCGCTGGGATTACAGATGTGTGCCACCAAACTCAAAACAAAAAAAATTTTTTAGTACTGGGGATCAAACTCATGACCTCATGCTTGCCAGGCAGGCGCTTACACTGCTGAGCAAAATCCCCGGCAAGAAATTATTTTTAAAAAATCAATCAGAGAGGCTGGGGATTTAGCTCAGCAGCATAAGCGCCTGCCTTACAAGCATGTGGTCGTGAGTTCGATCCCTGGTAGCGATTAAAAAAAAAAAATTGGGGCTGGGGGTTTTAGCTCAGTGGCATAGGCACCTGCCTTGAAAGCAAGTGGTCGTGAGTTCGATCCCTGATACCGATAAAAAGGATAAAGACAAAAAAAAAAAAAGTAATCAGAGGTTCTCATTAAGGTTCTCTCTTCCAGTTGGCTACTAAAACTTTTAGTAGGCTGGGGATTTAGCTCAGCGGCATAAGCGCCTGCCTTGCATGCAGGCAGTCGTGAGTTCATCCCCAGTACTGATAAAAAGGAAAAAGACAAAAAAAAAAAAAAAAACTTTTAGTTCAGCGGCACAGGCCCCTGCCTTGCAAGCGCGCGGTCATGAGGTCGATCCCCGGTACAAAAAAAAAAAACCTTTTAGTTATGAATAGTACTGGACTCACACAGTAAAAAGTACAGTATACTTGAACTTATGCTGTAGGCTAAAACGGCACCGAAGAGAGCCAAGTTTTAATGGTCTAGGACAAAACTCAAAATATCATAATTAAATACCCAATCAATCAACAGACTAATTCCACAAACTCCGGAACCAGCTAGGACACAGATCATCCAGTTCTTAGGCCTATTTTAAGTTTTGTGAAGTAAATGTATCTCTGGTGAGTCCTAACTAGCAATGTGAATATAGAAAATACAGTCTAAAGTATGGCAGACTGTAAACGAAGTCATCAAAAAATTCTAACACTACTTTTTGTCTATGCCCCCCAACCAGACTATAAACTCTGAGGTCAAGGAACAGTTAATGAATTCCCAAAGCATTTACCGTAATACCTTATATTCAACTCAATACGACTAATGGCCTGACTGACAGTGATCACATGGGAAACTGTTTTCTCACCTACTATGTATTGAACCTAGGGTCTTTGTACTGAGCAACATCCCCAGCTCTTTTTATTTTTCATTTTGAGACAGGATCTTGCTCGACTGTCCAGGCAGGACTAGAACTTGCCTTTCTACTGTCTCTGTTTCCCTCAGTGCTGGGAGTAAAAGTGTGTAGGACAGGGTGTATTTGTTACATTTTCAAAGTCAAACAGCAAGCCATACCAGTGACTAGAATCGCCCAGAGGTTGACCACTTATAAAACGGAACAGCTAACATTCCTGGACTGATCTATTCGTTGAATTCGGTTGGGCAAGAATGGTGAAATTTTGGCAAACGTTTACAGAGAAAGTGCTCATTCAATAGGGCAGTATTACAAGGTTATCAAATGCGGAGAATTAAAAAAAATTAAGACAAATTCATGTGAATAAAATTCGAGTTCAAGACAATTAAATAAACTACAATTAGCTTCATCAATAAAAAATAAGTAGAAGCAGCTAAAAATCAAAATCAAGTAAGACTGACTCGACCAACAAGGCATTTACACGAATACTTCTCACGCTTTCATTAAAATATTTCACTGGAGGTCAGCAGTAATCAGACCTGGATAAAAAAGACGATTCAGGGTTAGCTTTTTTTTTTTTCACTTAAAAGTATGCCAACTTTAAGCCTTATTAAAACTAAGTGGAAATTCGAGAGGTTTCTCTGGACCAATATAAAGTGTGTGTCACCGGGTTGGGGAGTAACATGAAAGGGGTTTCTTTAGCCATTTAACTCCAGCTATTCTGCAGCTGTTTGGTATGAGGCAAGTGATCTTTCTGAGCCTCAATTTTTCCTCACAAGAAGAGTGTCATGCAGACTGTTCCCTGACGTCAGAGGGTGATTGCTGTGGCATAAAACAGCGAAGACTACTGTGAGAACAAAGTCGAGCACCAAAGTAACGCATTATTATTGGGACTACGTGTAAAATTACCCGCTAGGATGAAGCTCCCCACACAAGAGATGAAGCCCGAGAGGAAAGAGTTGAAAGGGAAGGTCCCCACGAGGAGACAGTAACCAAACTGTAGCGCTCCAGTCAGCAATATATACAGGAGATAGGCGTCCAGCAACTTCAGCCGCTGCGGAGTGGTGCTCAGGTACTCTTCTAAGAACCGCGAAATGACGGACACCACTGAGGCCGACATGACTACAAGATGATTGCTCCAGGCCTCGCTTCCCGGACTCCTGCAGGATCAGACGTCCGCAACGGATGTAGCATTTGCGCACGCGCAAAAACGCGACCCAGCTCCGCCCACCCGATATGCCAATTTGCGCAGGCGTACAGCGAAGCTAATGTGCAAGATAACTAATGCGCAGACGCAGACTGCATCCACAGACTGCAAACTACAACCAGAGATAGTTAATGCGTCTGCGCAATGGATCAGTCAGTGGGTTGGAGACGTGTACAGTTTCTGCCCTATTTCCTTCTGGTTGGTAACGCCCACTTTTGCTCTGTCCTGGAGATACAATATCGTAGGAGGACCGGGGAAGAGATTTAACGGCGGACGACTTAGCTAATCGAAAGGTTCCGGGTCTTTTTGGTCCTCATACTTCTGTAAAGATTAAACGCTACAGCATTCTTAAAGGCAAAGGCAATGTTTGACGCTATCCCGCGTTCAACTACAACCGGGCCCTAATTCTATGAAGCGCTCTTTCTTCAAATGCCTATCACAGATCATCACAGCAAGCCAAGTTGCTACGCACTAAGAACCGTTGAGGCTAATGACTGTGCCGCACCAGTTTAGACTTGATTATGGGGGCCGGGAAGGGGCAAGAGGGGGAGGAAAACAGGTTGACCTTCTAAAGGTCAACGGGAACCTAGAATCCGGCCCCGCCTTAGAACATAAGCCTACAGGTATTTATTTATTCATTGTGCACTTATAGAGGTGCCCAACATTGTGTTAAGTTGTAGAACTTAAAGGTGAATATGATATGGTGGCCACCAAAATGAAAAGGTGATTGGAGAACGGTCGCTCATCCCGCACCAGAATGAAGATTAAGATTAGCTCTCCTCCACGAAACTGGCGTTTTGAACCCAGTTTATTATACCAACATATCAGTGTTGAAAGGCCCACAAGTACATGTCTGGCTCCATCTCATTTTGTAGAGGATTCTGAAATGAAGGTTCGAGCCTTTAAATTTTTATTTACATATTTGCAGTACACGACTACATTCATTATGAGAAGTTGGTATACATGTACATAATACGCCTTGATAGGTTTGAAGTTTTCTATTTTAACAGTGTAGTTAACAATACACTTTGAGCATTTTAACTTTTTAAAAAGTCTGCCTTCTGGCTTTCCTTGCGCTTGTAATTTTACATTACTCTAATTTAAAACTAATGCCTCTTACCTGTCAACTGCAAATCTTTCCTCAGGTTAACTACTTTAACCAACATTACCATACCATAAACGTTATGTGCGCAAAGTTCTAAAACAGTGAGGGAACAACACTGCAGCATTTTCACTTTTTAACTTGCATGTAGTGGAAACTTAATCAGCATCAACAAATGTATTGATTTTCGGTAATGAGCAAAGCCTTGCTTGGGTTTTAGAAGGAAAGTACCCCTGTCCTTAGTTTTACAGTCTAGATGCATATTCCCACAAACCCCAAAATTTGCGCAATTCAGCCTAAACCCTCTCAATGTTATTGAAAAGAAAAATGTTGACTACCCTATTTGACATAATATGGCAAGAAGCATCAGTGTCCCCCACAACTGAACCTTTCTTCCTGTCTCACCAGCAAATAGTGAGTTTCCTCCCCAGTATTCCACTTCAAATGCCACAAGCCCTTGCTGATGCTTTTTAATCATTCAAAAGTGAATTCCTCAAGGTTTCTATGCCACCAGTCAGGCTCCTCCAGCAGTTTTCCCCTTATGTTTTGCTGCCTTTGGTGTTGTCATCAATCAGGAATTCCCCCAGGAGAACAGAAGAGGTTTGTTTTTTTTTTTGTTTGTTTGTTTTTTAATTGACTTTGCATCCCTTTTCAAGACCTGCAAAGACCTACTAGTAATAAAACGAAACTTTTTTGGACTCCTTAAAACAACAAGAAAAGATCTTGTTTTGTATTCAATTTATGATTCTACTTAACTGATCTGTCAGTGGGGAATTGCTAATATATTTAACTAACATATTTCAGAACTTTAATATATGTAAAAATTTATATCCATAATGTTGAGTAAGAGTGCAAGCTCTAGAGTCAGACAGACTTGTGCTATATTTGATTATATTGTTGACTAGTTGCTTAATCAAAACAGGTTATTTAGTCTGACAATTTTATTTTCTTTTTCTATAAAGTGAAAATAATACCTGAATTATTGGAATGCTGTGAGGATTAAATGAGATAGTATTAAGCACTTTACATAATGGTCGACACCCAGTAAATATTTGATGTTTGGTCATTGGTCATCATGAGTCATGATAATTAACTATATCTGCTGATAGAATTGTGGCATGGCTGAAAAGATAAGAAGTATGAAATATAAATGACCTTTATTTTAAGAATGCGGGGAGAGACCCCCTGACCCTCCAGTGTCTCCGGGGGCTGGCATTCTCTCCATCCAACATGTGGAGTGGGGGCATTACATGTGGCTTAGGTTTGAGGTGGAGCCTACGGGGCATTAGTGATGCATAGGTAGTCCGTTGGTATTCATTTCACACCACAGGTAAATTCCTAGGGGCGGGGAAGATGGAGCCCCTTGGTTCTGCCTCCAAGGCTTTACTGGCTACCGAGTCCCAACTGGGCCAAAATCCTTTCATCTTCTTTCTCTGTTTCTCAGAACAATTAGAAGTTGACCAAACTACAGGGCCCACAATATTTTAAACACAAAAAAGATGGCACTAAAGGACTACAAATCAGATGGCTCTTAAGAGTGCAAATCAAGTTTATAAATTGAAACAGAAGTCAGAGTAGACTTGTCCTTAGAGGGATTCAAGGAGATCCCTCTAAAAAAAGAGATAGGGACCTCAACTCAGCCCACTCAGAAGGTTCTTGTCTCACAACACACCCCAAAATAATTTCATACTGCCTCAGTATAAGGCATAATGTACATTTATTAGGCAGAGTTAGAAAGTAAAGGAGGGGGCTGGGGATTTAGCTCGGAGGCATAAGCGCCTGCCTTGCAAGTGTGAGGTCATGAGTTCAATCCTAGGTACCAAAAAAAAAAAAGAAGGAAAGAAAGTAAAGGAGAATATGAAAGAGACTCCAGCTTGGATCTCTACCTTGCATGGGGCACGCTGTGATGGGGTGACTCAGACTGGCCCGCCCACAAAAGCATGAGATCAGCTTTTAAGAGTTAGCTGGGCACCGGGGTGAGGCTGGGGGAATATAGCTTAGCAGCACAGTCAAGCACAAGGTCCTGAGTTTCATTACTGATGTGAAAAAAAAAAAAAAAAAGGATTAGCTGCATTAGGACATGGTGCGGTCTGTCTGTTTCACAGTTTGGGTGTCCATGGTTCTACGGGATTCATTGCGGCTTGACAGTCAATTTGGATTGTATCCAAGATGATTTTCCTTGTTCAGGAGGGAGGACTGCCTCAGTGTTTGTCAAGGAACAATTGCTCCTGCTGGAGGGGAGGTGATCTTATCATTGGGTGGCTGGTCTGCAAAGGTCTGCTTTTCTAGAATCCTTGAAGGTTTGAAGACTTCTGGGCATTACTTGAACGAGTTTGCAACTGGGAAAAATGGCAACTGAGTATCTTGAAAACCTTGAAAATTACCCTTATCTTAATACCTCAGTCTTGAAAAAGCATGAGGCACACCAGGTAACATTTAGCACTAATAACCTTCTGAATGATTGGCATGCCTACCTGCAGAGCTGAGCATGAATCTCACCCACAGTTTTAAGATAATAAGGGAGACAAAAAAAAATTGCGTTTCCTTGTCTCCTTTCTACCTGTCCTTATTTCTTCTATCTCAAGCCTTAGAGGTTTCATTATTAAAACACTCGACATCATAAAACAGTGAAAAGGTTCAAGGGCTCCTCCCATAAGGGCAAAATCCATTATATTAATCATATTTCCCCATAATAAGAAATTACATTATTTACTAAAAGAAACACAAATTCAAGATGGGTGTGGTGATGCACCCCTGTAATCTAGCATTCAGCAGGCTGAGGTAGGAGGGTTACCTGGAGTTCAAGACCAGCCTGAACTACATAGCATACTCTGTCGAGAGAGAAAGAGAGGCAAAGACAAAGACAGAGACAAATCCTCCAAACTGAGCAGCAAAAGTCATGTAACAGTCTACCTCTTCAACTTCAGCCTCAGTTAAACCAAAATTCCCTTCATGTTTCCAAACAAATAGATAAAACAGACTATTACTTTCAGAAGGAAAATTTTAAGGGACGTAGGATTGCAAGCAGTACGAAATCAGATTCTGAAAGTATCAAGTTTCTGATGCAAGTCCAGGACAAGCAGCAGATACCTTCAGTGAGCCTAACACTTCATCCTTTCACTCCCTGAGGGAAGGGGACAATTTACAGTCAGTTTTGTTTCATCTCCCTCCCTTATAAAAATCCCCGCCACCAAAGAGAATCTATCATATCGTCCTTTCCAAGGGTAGTATTTAATCCTTGGAAAGTAGTTAGTGGTCATTAATAACAAAGTGCACTGCTGCTCTCCCTACAACAGGAAGCTGAAATCATCGGTGCCTGGGCAACACTGCCCTGTCCGGGAGTTTTCTGTGATGATGAGTGTCTCTGTGCTCTCCGGCATAATCACAGCTGAACATATGAGGCTGCTGAGTGCTGGTCTAGAGTGACCAAAGCCATTTTGATTATTTTAATTTAAAACTAAAGTAGGCACATATGGACAGAGCAAATCCAGAGCTATTTCACTTAGTTCTATATTTAATCTAGGAGTCATACCTAGTTCATAGCCATACCTAGTTCATAGTTCATTCAAAAGGCAATGACACTTGTTTGAAACCAAAGAGCAGTCTATCGTGGCCAGGCTGGAATATTAGTTTATCAGCTCCACCTGCCTTTGGAATGTTTAATGATAACATAGAGGCTCAGGAAAAAGAGTTGTGGAATTAGTTTCCACCTATAATGGCTGTATTAATACTTTTTTTTTTTTTTGCCTTTTTCCTTTTTATTGGTAACGGGGATCGAACTCAACGACTGCCTGCTTACAAGGCAGGCGCTTATGCCGCTGAGCTAAATCCCCAGCCCCTGTACTAATACTTTAATTACACATCTAATTACACATATGGAAGATAGGATGTATATTTTCACATTTGTCTATCATGCATCCTGTCTTAAAGAAGGGAGAAAAGACACCATACATTTTCTCCCCAGAAGCCTATCTGGGCAGTGAGAGTTCCTTCTGCTGTGTATAATTCTAACAGATCCAGTCAACCCCTGTTATCCCAGCTCTGTGGACATCTCAGAGGATCTATTAACTTTAATTTAAAAAGGCAAATTCTGTGTATTCCAGTTTCCTGCTTCCAAGTACACAGTACTTTAAAGCTAATTTGACACACACAGAAACAAAATACAAATGATTCCCTGTACTGCCTTCATGATTCGAGCTGTGGAGAGTTCAATACCAGTTCTAGCTTTACTTCAAAAATTTCAGCTCAAAAAGTTCTCCATCTTACTGGTTTTCAGGAAGGTGGGAGATTGTATTGTCCTCGAGTGAGATAGCCTGGAATTTCCTCTGTGACACAATTTAAAATATAACTCCCAAAGCCCATGGCATTTAATATATTATTTTATAGGTAACTTTCTTCTTCAGTAGACTTTTGCTTGTGTTGTTTTGTTTTGTTTTGAGATGGGGTTTCACTGTGGAGTTCATGCTGGCCTTGAATTCACTTTATATTCCAGGCTGGCCTCGAATTTATAGTGATCCCCTGCCTCAGTCTCCCAAGTGCTGGGATCATAGGCATGCACAACCATGCCTGGGCTGTAGACTTTGCATTTACTAGTAGTGGCATAGGCCTATGATCCCAGCACTGAGGAGGCTGATGCAGGAGGATTGTCATGAGCTGAGGCCAACCTGGGCTACCTAATGAGTTCAAGGCCAGCCTGAACTCTATAGCAAGATCCTGTCTCAAAATAAAGAAATAAATCAAAGTTGCCAGCTCTACAAAAGTAGTAACAATCTGGAACCATGCACAGCAAATAGAAAGTCTCTGTACACTTGGAGAGCAGATTATTTGTTTCCTTTTGTTAATCCTGTTCTTAGTGTCTAATGTAATGCTTGGCTTTGAATAATAATAGCAAGTAACATTTTAGTAGGAAAGTCTACTAAATGTCTATTTGAATTAACTTAGTTAACTCTTACAAGACATAAATCAGAGGAAGAAATTAGAGACACAAAATAACTGGCTCAGCTGAGCACAATGGATACACAGCCAAGCCAACAGGGACCTAAAACCAGACTTCTGACCCCTGCACGTATGCTCCTAATTACTGAGTCTCAGTAAACCCCAAGTAACTGTAGCCAACTTGCGGATCTGACTCTTCTGCTGAAGGCCCTGATGAATTCTCCACATCTCCCACACGCGCACACCCACAAACCTAATGCAGACCAAGCCGCAGAGGTTGGTGTGGCTACTGTCCCTACTCTCAGCAGGTGCGGGGTCCTCCAGACAGGAGAGGCCTGGGCGCAGAGGCGCAGTTTCTCTGATAACTAAGCTGGGGCCGAACTCATCTCCAGAACAGAGGAAAGCCCATCCTGGCAGGTTGTAAAAGAATAAAATTACAGGACTCTCAGTTAGGTCTCAAATATTTGCAGGAGACATACTTTTTTTTTTTTTTTTTAACATAGTCTTAAAAAATTTCTTTACTCTGAAGTTTAAATGTAACTAGGCATTCTGGTTTTGTTTTGTGTTTTGTTTTTGTTTCTGAAACCTGGCCCCCAGGCCCTTTGTGAGAAGCAACCAGTGAAGTCTCCACAAACCTCTGAAGCATCTTATGATATGGAACTCCCAAGGGGTGTGCTTCTCGGAAGGCAGTTATAGAGGAAGCCCAGAGAGAGTGTGAGCTTTTCAATTACGAGAGAAGGGAGAACTGAAGGCGCTCCCGGAAAGGACTTCGATTTTTAGCACTACCTGCCTTCCTCACTGTCCCCCAAATCTTGCTAGGATCGCTGTCCTCTTTTGTGACGCTCCTCTCTCCCTATTTACCACCCCCACCCCACCCCACCCCTTCCCCCCACCCGCTTTCATCTCTGCTTGGAGCTCGCACAACCAGAACAGACCCCCACCCCCACACTCCACCCCTCCTCTCCCCCCTCCCCTCCCCTCCCCCTCCCCCCCAGCCCGGGAGCCCCGCCCCCTAGCAGGCCACGCCCCCTCGCTACCCGAGACTTTCTGGGTCAGCTGGTGCTGGCGTCAGGCGGAGGGATGGGCTGGCTCAGCTCGACCCTGCAGGGCTTGTTTACTATGGCTGATGATCTGGAGCAGCAGTGAGTTAATCCCGTCTTTCTCTCTCTCTGTCTCTCTCTGGGCCGCGATCCCGGGACTGTCTGTGGCTGAGGAACAGTGTTAGACACCTTCCCACCTTTCCTGTCTCAGGTCGGCTACACCAGGAAGGGCTGGGGCTTGCGTTTTCCTGCTTTGCTTTTGCCAGAAGAGGCGGCTGGCAGCGCCTGGGAGCGAGCGGTGGTGGATGAGCTTCGCCTGCAGCTCAGTGATTCTGACTTTTTCCACTTAGTCTTCTCCGTTGCCCCTCAGTTGGTGCTAACGCGCGAGAGCTCCCCAAACGCAAGGTCGTGGGACGCGCGTGCGGGGGGCTGCAGCGGGCGGTAGTCCGGACGCCCCAGGACCGACCTCAGCGGACCCCGTGAAAACTGCGGGTCCTGGCCCGGCCCCGGGGAGGCGGGGGAAGGAGGGAGAGGTCTCCACTGCGCTGGATCGTGTGGAGTGATGGGCATACAAGTTTCTTCAGCTCTTGCCTGCCATGACATGTTGCTGTTTGCACCCCTAATCGATAATGCTTTTAGTCTCACATCCTTAACCCAGTGGTTTCCACAGTTTTGTTAGATTTGCTGGTTTTATTTTGTTTTGTTTTTAACCAAGGGCGTCAGGTTTGGGATGCCACCTGTAGGTGGTGTGACTAGCAAATTGCGGTCTGACAGCAAGGAAAAGTTGTTTCCAGAATGACTCAGCGCCAGGCCATGCCTTGGGTTTCACCGGTGCAAGGCCTTTTCTGGACCTTTTGGATCTGTAGAATTGATAGTCCAGGAGAACAAATTAGCTTGATGACATTAATAAATCGCTTCCTTAGGCTGGAAGGTCCTGTCCAGGAGGGCGTTGCTAAGATAGTTTTTCCAAGTGAAAATTAACAATGTTTTCAAAGACTTAGAGAAATAGATTATTAGAGCTGGAAGAGATACAAGTCATTCAGCCCTGATATACAAATAAAGAAACTCAGGCTGTTGACTTTGAAAGGTTTGCCCAAGATCATAGAAGCCCTAGACAGTGAGCTTCTCTCCACTTTTGGCTTTACTCCCACCAGGCTGAGTTCATGGCTAGGGTGCTTCTCTGATCCTTATCTCAAAGTTTCCCACATCTGCACTTAACCTCTCCAATGGTACTGAGCAGATACAATGTATCAGGAGCCACTTCTGCTACTTTACCTGTTATATTTTTGGAAGAAAGTCAAAGTGAGACACTTCTCATAAATACCTGCTGAACACCTGTGGTGCCTTTCCAGGGGATGGCATTTCTTATGAGCTCTGTTTTGGACAATGTGAGGCCCAGGTGTTGTGACCTAACCTGTCACCCTCTCCCTGATGTGAAAGGCTTATCTCTTGAGAGAAAAAATTCTGTGGGCCTGGTCTTCATGCTTCAAGCCAACAAGGAATTCCAGTAAACTATTTAAAAAATTATAGGATCTGACTAGGATTACGTTGGTTAAGCCTGATAGCTCTCATCTGGCTAAAACCATTGATGTACTACTATTCCCGAGTTTTTCTTTCAGACTGCAAACATTTTTCAAGAGTTTCTATTTGAGGGGCTGGGGATTTAGCTCAGCGGCATAAGCACCTGCCTTGCAAGCAGGCAGTCGTGAGTTCAATCCCCGGTACCGATAACAAGGAAAAAGACCAAAAAAAAAAAAAAAAAGTTTCTATTTGCAAGACAGTGGGAATAGAGGTAGCTTATATTTAGCTGAGGGAAAGAATATTTCCTGGGAGTTTATCTTGTGCTAGGCACTATTCTGTGTGATTTAGCTATATTAACTAATGCTTGTAACAGTCTGATCACATGTGGTAGTGCACACCTGCAATCTGAGCTCTCAAAGGCTGAAGCAGGAGGATCACAAGTTAGAACCTCACCTGCATACCTCAGCAAGACCCTGTCTCAAAATAACACTTAGAAAAAGGGGTAGAGGGGTAGCTCAGTGCAAAGGCCTTGGAGTCATTTCCCAGTATCACAAAATAAAATAAAGCAAAATAAAACCCCCATGAAATAGATACTCTCTTTTTAAATGATGAAAAAACTGACAAAGACTTTCTGGTAAGTGGCAGCGCTGGATTAGAACTCTAGCCTCCAACTTTGGATCACTTCTTCCTTCAGAAAACAGAGAGACAAGTGCCAGCATGGTCGTATACTCTGAATGTTCATTTTTTGGTCTTGAAATACAAGTTGGAAGAACCCAGGAAGAGAAACTGAGAAACCTGGATTTGAGATTTGGCTTCTAGTTCTGTTCCTTTTCCTAACTTTTAGTACGATCTCTCTTGTGGTGTTGCAGTCAGTAAAACAAAGAGACTGGATTTCCAAAGAAACATCCTCCTTAAAATTCTAAGGGCCAAATGATTCATCAAGATGCCCACTGAGTACTGAAGGGTTTTCACAGAAAGGGTAATGGTTCCCTCACAAAATCATACTGATAGCGCTGATGTTCATGGGCCCTTCCTGTAGCTGTTGGTGTGTGTCCTGAACTCCTTTTACTAAGGCAGAGTTCAAGAAAAGAGAAATAATATGTGTGATGGGAAAGAAAGAATGAAAACTGCTGAGCGTCTAATTTGTGGTCGGCATCTGACAAGGTTCTTACAAATCTACACACAAAGATGCGTTAACAGGCCAGCGCCAGTGAGAGTGCAGGACTACAATTGAGATCCTGGGATGTTTTTCACTTTTTAATTTCAAAGATGGTACTTTTAATCACTACTCTGTAATGACTTAAAGGTACTGGATTTGAAAGAGAAAGTAGGATGAATTAGCTTGTCTGTTTCACAGTGTTCTACATGGGATAAGGGCATGGGCCAGCTCTTTACTCACTTTACAATCTGGAAAACAAGGCCAGAGGTAATCTGTGTCCTACCAAGGAATGATAGCAGGACTTGAACCTAGGTCTCCCTCCTCCAGCCTCTTACCTGCCTCGTCTGCTTCTTTAGGGTGGGGCTTAGTGATTACCCGAGAATGTGTTTGGGCACTGACACATGCTCCGTACTTCTAGAGGTGTGGAGGAGGGCCAGGAGCACAGGTAGCATGGGAATCTTTCTGTATCACCTTGAAGGAACAGCTCGCCTGGGGATGGCAAGGGATAACTGAACTGTTAGTTACAAGTTGCTTTCTCTCCCTTCCTGATTTTCTTCAACACAAATAAGATAACCAATAACAAAAGAGAGTTGAATGCGATAATGAGTGTGAAAGAGCGTTGTAAACGATATACACACAGCTGAGTGTGCTGAGTGGCAGGGTGTGAGCAACCATTTACCTGGGAAGCGGATCAGTCTATCAGGCAGGGATGGCACTGCCCACTGCCTTCGTGGGCAGCTCTCCCGAGGCTGGGAAACACCCTGTACCCAGATAACTCTGCTAACTCTCAGCAAGGCCGAAAAGCAACCTTTCCAGTGTTGCCAATAAGTATCTGTGTCTCCCTGTCCCAGGCCTCAAGGCTGGCTGAGCAGCTGGCTGCCCGCGTGGCGTCCCACTTCCATGTCTCAGCTGAAGAATGTGGAAGCCAGGATCCTCCAGTGTAAGTAGAAGGAACAGTTTGTCCTGTCTTCCAGAAAGGTTGTGGGATCTGCCCGGAGCTGGTTACACCAAGCCCACTGATTCCTGTGTGGGAGGAGGAGATGTCAGTGATTAGAGGGATTCACACAAGACACCAAATTCCTCTGTCAGCTTCTCCCCAGCTGTGCCCATTCCTGCCACATCCTACAACTTTATGCAAACCCTCTCCATAGTATTATGCGCTAATACACATTCATAGACACATACATATATGCATGCTGCCTGTCTCCCCATCCTGTTCCACTGTCTTCCTTCTCTTCCTCTGTTTCCTAAACACACAAGCACCTCTTAATTCGCCATCTTCGTACCCAAGGGCCAGAAGCCTATACTCTCTAGCATGGAGGTTTCCTGTGCTCTATTGAGCTAAGGCCACCACCTATCTCAGCTAGTCCCAGTTTGGGACCAGTTGTCATGGTCAGTGTTGCGCTGGGACAGGCATCCCGAGAACAGCAGTAGATACTGGCTCAAAAGAACCCAGGCCACTTCCCCGGGGCTGCTGCACGGAGTCACTATGGCCATAGCAGCAGAGCAGACACTGCCCCGCCTCAGCATCTGTGAGCAGTAAGCCCAGGACTCAGCACAGCCCCATCACCCTCCCCGCTGGCTGGAGCACAGTTCTGCCCACTTGTCAGGTCATAAGCACACACCACTTCAAGAGCAGTGGACACAAAAGCTCAACTCAGTGGTGTTTCTGTCACCCTGGGCCCCAAGGGAGTGTGGCACACAGCCTCAAGGAATAAGATGGCTCCTCTGATACCTATAATCTACATAGTCCACGTATTATGCTTGGATTTAAATTCTTTAGGGTATGTGTTGCAAAAGGAAAAAAAAATCGGAGTAATTAAATGAGTTAGGAAGACTAAGACTACTGGAATAAGAGCAAGAGCTCAGGCTCAATTCTGAATCCTCCAAAGACAAGAGGGAATTTTTTTTTTTTTTTTGTCTTTTTTTTTTTTTTTTGAGATGGGATCTCGCTATGCAGTTCAGGCTGGCCTTGAGCTCACTTTGTAGCCCAAGCAGGTCTCGAACTCACAACAGTCCTCCCACCTCAGCCACCTCAGTGCTGGGATTACAGGGGTGAGCCACTACGCCCGGCAACAAGTGGAAATTTAAAACTGAAAAGAAGGCCAAGTGTGGTGGTGTGTGCCTGTAATCCCAGCACTCAGAAGGCTGAGGCAAGATCACCATGAGTTGGGATACATAGTGAGCTCAAAGCAACCTGAACTGCATAGCAAGACTCCAATTGAAGAGGTCACTGGATAGAAAATAATTAAGAAGAGGTATCAAGGATGGGGAGTTCTTACTAAGCTGACTTAATAGGTTTCATTATGAATGAAAGAAAAGGACTTAGACATAAAAGGTAGGGAATAAAGACTTTAATCACATATAAAGGGTAAGGAGATTCTTGGAACCCTGTCTTAGTAGAATTCTTGCTAAGACTAAGCTAGGCAGGCTGAAGACAGGTGGAGGCCTAGTCAAGAAGAGATCTCAGAACACCTTCCTTAAAGTTTGGTCTTTCTCAGCGGTCAGAGGGTTTAGGGAAGGAAGAGCTAAGGGAGTTGGGAAGGGCTGAGAAATGGAGAGAAAAACCTCGAGGACAGGCAGAGTCCAGGCAGAGTGGCTTTTGCCATCAGGAAGTAGTGTTGATTCACCATGGTGTTCTCTCCTTTCCAGGTCTTCAGAACAAGTTCCTGGCCCGATATGTGTCCCTCCCAAACCAGAACAAGATCTGGACGGTGACTGTGAGCCCCGAGCAAAAGGACCGCACCCCACTCGTGATGGTGCATGGCTTTGGGGGTGGTGTGGGGCTCTGGATCCTCAACATGGATTCGCTGAGTGCCCGCCGCACGCTGCACACCTTCGATCTGCTCGGCTTTGGGAGAAGCTCAAGGCCAACCTTCCCAAGGGACGCAGAGGGTGCCGAGGATGAGTTTGTGACCTCAATAGAAACGTGGCGGGAGTCTATGGGGATCCCCAGTATGATCCTTCTGGGGCACAGTTTGGGAGGATTCCTGGCCACTTCTTACTCTATCAAGTATCCTGAAAGGTAATGAAAAGCCACCCCTCTCCTTAGTGACCTGATTCCTTGCCTTGCTGAGTATTTTCAGTATTCATTTCCAATAGTTCTCTCCCTTCCAAGAAATTTAAGGGCAATGGTACAGTCACTCAAATAAATGTGTTCCTTTCTCTTCCCATAATGTAGAGTTAAGCACCTTATCCTGGTGGACCCATGGGGCTTTCCACTGCGACCGACAGACCCCAGTGAGATCCGTGCACCTCCAACCTGGGTCAAGGCTGTGGCATCTATTCTGGGGCGTTCCAATCCTCTGGCTGTTCTTCGAGTAGCTGGGCCCTGGGGTGAGTATCCTGTGGATTAATTCACACCTTCAACCAGGGCGGTCCCATTTAACCAGTCCCCACTGCATGTGTTTCCCTATCATCCTCACTTACTCTCATCAGCAGTGGGACTGACCTTGCATGGTTACTTTAAGCCATTAATCTGACTCAGACTTCTTTGAGATTTCAGAAGGTTGTTTTTCTTCCCTTTCATCTGCATGGAAAAAGTTTTCTTATGCAAGGAACAGATGAGAAAAACAACTACCCAGTGCTTTGGCACACTCTCCAGAGAAAGGAAGGGATTATGGGGTATCCTGCTGCATGGGAGTCTGTATGGCAGCCCGTTAATGATTCAGGTGCAGTGACTAACCCTGGAACCCAAACCATAACTCCCCAGCACCTGTGGCAGGGAGGGATCAGTGATCCCTCTGAACCATGCCTTGCTCCAGACAAGATCACATCTTAATCTACTTTGTGCCCCCTAGCACTAAGGCGTTGTCAGCAGATTCTGTGAGTACAAGAGAGAGAAGGAGGTGGAGGTAGAGAGCCAGCCATGGAGAGTAGCTCCAGCCTTCTGCCCTCACACTGTCTATACCTTTCTCTCTGGAGAGCTTTTCCTCTGAAGAAATAAACAGTGGATTTCCTTTTTGGAAGATTGGTGACCCATGTCTTGTACTGATGTTTTATGTTTATAAAGTAATGTTCAGTAGTCAGTTTCTATAAGTTAATCACTAAGGATCAACCTTGGCACACTTCCCTTCACAGAGGACCAGAAGAAAGAAGATGAGATATTGACCAGTAGGACCAATACTCACGTCTGTTGTATCATAAAGGTGAAAGGAACAGACTGTTTAACAGGGTGCCCTGAGCCTGAGATGCCAGTGTTATTAAGGTCACCTCTCCACATATTCTGAAAATGAGAGGACTCTTGGGATGTGCTCCGGTTTTATCTGCTACCTTCAGAAGATTAAAAAGCCAGAAGGGTCCCAGGAAGAAAGAGAACATAGCTCAGACTGTGAAAAAAATCTCAACTATAGATTCTTATGGAGCTTGTGATCCTTGTAGAAAAAGACTCTAGAACTTCACTGAGCTGAGAATAACCGGGTTTCTCAGGAATGTTAGACTGTCGCTGTGTAAATTCTTTGGTAACCCACCAAAGGTATCTGGAGCTTCCCAATAGACATCTGCATTCTTTGTGCCACTGTAATGTCAAATGCATAAAGCAATAAACCTGTAACCTTTGGTTACAGTTGTTTAAAAAGACACTGTAGGAATCTCGTCCCTTCTATGGTCCAAACTGGCTCCTTGTTTTCATCCTCTCCCAGGGCCTGGCCTGGTGCAGCGCTTCCGGCCAGACTTCAAGCGCAAGTTTGCAGACTTCTTCGAAGATGATACAATATCTGAGTATATCTACCACTGTAATGCACAGAATCCCAGGTGAGGACGGCTCCCAGCGTAGCCTGCGGGGGCCCCTGGGAGATAAAACTCCAGCTACAGAGTGCTGTGCCTGGTTTCTCTTCCCCACAAAGCACTAAAGTCTGGGGAACACAGGTACCAGCAGGCTTGACCATTTCCAGAGAGATCCCCATGGTTGGGCACATTAGGGATGTAAAAGATAATGGATTAATTTCCACATGCCTTTGGCCTCTAGAGGAAGGACTGCCCTTTTCCTTAGAGATAGGCAGCTGGCCTGATGGATAAGAGTCTGGAAAACATTTTAAAAGTTCTTTTTTTTTTAAATGAAAAAATTGCATAATCCTGGTATTTTTTTTAAAGGCAAAGAGGGAGGAGATGAAGTCTGCTGTCCCTGACTTCCAGTTCTCAAATTTCTCCATAATTTTCAGTCTACAGTGTCACGTGACCTGGCACAAAGCCTTTGCACACATACACAATACATGCACAGAATGCATCCCTATAGAGAGAACTGTTGAGTGAAAGAGTGTGCATTTAATTTATTTTTTGGATGGGAAATCAAACTCAGGACCTTGTGCTTGCTAGGCAGGCGCTTATGCCCTGAGCTATATTCCTGGCCCCATTTCATTTCATTCACTTAGAAGTTGTTTACCATTTTGGAATTGAAATTCTTTCACTTCTTTTGGAGGTGTAGGGGTACCTGTCTCTACTCATACAGCAGACCCCGCAGCTCCCCACCCTGCAGTCACAGCAATGTTAACAACCAGGGCAGAGCCAAGGGAGTAATCTTTAATCTTCTCCTACAGCAGTGGCTGTTAGTGCCTGATACCATGAAGCCACATTGGTGACACCACCTCTGTATAGGCCTCACCCTGAGCTGCTGGGGGGCATCTCAGAAGCAGGGCCACTGTCCCATCTCTTTCCAGGCTGCCCAAATCACCTCTTGTGAGCCCAAAGCTGTCCGGATGGTAGGAATTTCCCTTTCAGTGGCACCATCAGTGTTAGCCACAAATCCAAGGAGCTCTGGGAAGGTGGAGCTGTCTAGCCAGTATGTCACATGAGCTCAGCAGCGGGGTGGGGGGTCCCCTGCTAGGCAGCATTGTAGAAACTCAGCCCAGAGTCAAATCAGGTACCCTGAGCTTCCCACTCTTGGCTCCTCTCTGCTTCTGCAGGCTCAGGGCTAGTCTCTCAGGCCCAACTCTGGACCTGCTTCTGTACAGTGACCTCCCAGCCACAGAGTCTATCATCTAACAACTTGTGCTAGGAGGAAGCAACAATGACATCAGGATACCCAGCTCCCTCACTCCTCAAACACTATCACCCTATTTTATAACTCCTTGAGTTACTGTGCTGGTAACTAACAAGTTCAAGAAATTCTATAATCAATCCTATGGAAAATGTGAACTTTGGCTTAGGAAAATGTTTGGGTTATGTACTTCACTTCACCTAAACTTTGTGGCTTTGTATATATTTTCATTCTCCTAATCATGGCCTAATAAGTAAGTTTAATTCTCTCCAATTTGTAGAAGAGAAAAATATGTTCTGTTCAGTTACATGACATCCTGAAAAAAACATCCAGCCTTGGAATTCGTATTTATCTGACTCCAAAGTCCATAATTTATCTGTCTTTTTTTTTTTTTTTTTGTCTTTTTCTTTTTTATCAGTACCGGGGATCGAACTCACGACTACCTGCTTGTAAGGCAGGCACTTATGCCACTGAGCTAAATCTCCAGCCCCTACACTGTGATGTCTTAAGGAAACATTTTGCATTTCTAGTAGCCTGAGCAGAGTTCATCCCAGGGATGCTAAAAAGACTCAGTATATAACTACACTAACCAGGCCATGGCTAGAGAGTAGCAGTGCCCCAGCATCCCCACCTCCCACAAAGGTGCAGACAAGCCCAGGAAGCTGGTGCCTGCCTCAGCCCACAGACACCTCATGCTATGGCCTAAGTTAGCTCCACTGAAGGAAATGACCAGGCTGTAAAGTAGAGCAGATTGACATTTGTTGCTTCTCCCTTAACACAAAATATTCAGTCCTCATACAACTCCTCCTACTTCCAGAGACCCAGAAGAGACCCTTTTTACTGTTCCAGTACTTGTTGTTCAGGGTTGACCTCCGGTGAATTCTGCCTCATTGCTCTCTCAAACTGAGTCCCTCGTCTGAGTGCCTCATAGCTGTCTGTAAGACTTTTGTAAGCCTCAGAAACTTTTAAGTTAAATGTTCAGTTAGATGGTTAGTCATTTAATACCCAATCTTCCTATGTGAGCTCAGGAGGCAGGGACCTCATCTGTCCTCTACAAGTGTCCCCTCACTCAGCCCAAGATAAATATTTATTGAATAAAGAGCAACACATTCTCTTCTTGGGTTATTCTCAGTGCCATGGGCCTTTCCAGTTGTGACCTCTGGAAATCCAGTCACCTGCTAATCTTACCACATTGGATGAGCCTTGTGCTGGGCTTTGAGATCAGGAATTCAAAGATAACTAATACGCTGCCCCAGCCCCCCAAAAGACCAGGAAGTCAACACATTCTGCGTCAGGGTTATTCTGTTAATTGCCATTCCCTGTTTTGTTTCTGGCAGTGGTGAAACGGCATTCAAGGCCATGATGGAGTCCTTTGGCTGGGCCCGGCGCCCCATGTTGGAGCGGATTCACTTAATTCGAAAAGATGTGCCCATCACCATGATCTACGGGGCCAACACCTGGATTGACACCAGCACAGGAAAAAAGGTGAAAATGCAGCGGCCGGATTCCTACGTCCGAGACTTGGTACGTAGGCACACCCAGTTGGTGGGAGTTGGGCAAGAAATGCTGTGGGGTGAATGCCAGTCTGTCATTCTGGGGGTAGAGAAGAGGGATCAGAGTCCAAGGAAAAGAGGAATGAAAGATTGAAATAGGGTAGTGGATTTGAAAGGTTTTGCTCGCTCTATTATATCATAGGTAGGGGCTGAGGCAGGTTCTTGCCCAACAGTCAGGCATATGCTGCCTCTCCAGCCCTGTCCCTGGTTTTTCTACCCAAAACCAGGGCCGTGAACATTAGAGGCCACCATGAAGATGTCTCCTCATACTCTGCTTTTCCTTTAGTCTTATTCATCGTACCCTCTCCCTCATTTGCCAATAAGCATGGTTAAGTAGGCTGGGTGCCACCCTCAGGCCTTGGGTTACTGATGAACGGAGGAGATCAGAGCGGGGCTGACACAGAAGGGAAGATACAGGAAAAGGCTAAGAGGAAGTGGAATGGGATATTGAAATCCATTGGCTCCCAAAAGAAAGTCCCAAGATGCAAAAGAAAGAAGGAGCATTGTTTCTGATAAGAGCTGGTGGGTGGCAGGTGAGCAAGGCGAAGGAGAGGAGGAGGAACGGTGGGATTGCATTCTAGTACCTAGGATAAAGCACCATCCTATGCACGGATCCTCTTTCTGCAGGAAATTGAGGGTGCATCCCACCATGTCTATGCGGACCAACCACATATCTTCAACGCCGTGGTAGAAGAGATCTGTGACTCAGTTGACTGAGCTGCCCTCACCAGAGGAGAAGGAGAAAGTCAGAGAGTCGCTTTCGCCTCCCTGTCTGCTTAGTCCCCCCATCTCTGTCCTTTCCTCACCAACTAACATGTGCCAGCCAGGCAGAGTCTTGGGCTGTCCCAAGATAGGACCATAGTCAAAAAGAGCACTCTTGATCCCATGCTAAGGGCTGGAGACAGAAGCCACGGAGGCCTTGAGCTCCCCACTATGGGGAAGAACATAAAGGGTTGCCACTGCCACCCCATTCTCTCCAGGCCATGAGGTACCAGATGGTGACTGTGAAGGGACAACACTGAGCCACGCTGCATCCTTTCTCTGGAATGTTTGTTGAGTAGGTTCCATGCAAGAGCATCTTTCTTCTCCTTCACTCCCATCCTGTGCTGGCTCCATCCATGGACTAATTAAGATCAGTTCCCACTTAACTGCCAAGAGCAGGTCCGGAGCTCCATTCACTTACAGAGTCCTTTCCATGACCTCAGAGGTCACATCCAAGCCCTCACTGACAAATGAGGCAAAAGGCCAAGGCAGACATGGGTGACACAGCCCACTGTGGTTCTGGGTCTGCTGGAACCTAGTACGCATTGCACACTTGATTTGCTGCGGTTCAAGCCAGGCACCATTGCAGTGGGGCTGGTCCTGCTCACTGGCCGAGTTTACACCTATGCCTGCCCTGTCCTAGCCGCAATATACAGGAATACTGTTGTCCTGCCCTGGGTCTTGCTCCTGGCTGCTTAAGCTGGGATTACTCAAGTACTTCCTTCCTTGCCCCATCCTCCTACCCATGGGAGGCCTCTTAGCTTTCCTCTGTGCCTTGGGCCCTGAAGCCCCACGTGTAGTATAAATAAAGTAAATGTGGTTCCTGGTAGAGGGGAGAAAGGCCCTTAAACCCCAGGGCCATGTCTGGATTCACCGTGCCCACTGGTATCTGCAGTATTTTTTTACCTACATCCAGAGCTGGCCTATCAAGAGCCCCTTCTCCAGTGGGGAGCCCCAAGCCAGCCCCAGCCTGTCCCCATAGGATGGTTCTCACTGCCTGACCCTTGATCCCTGCCATGGTCTCCAGCTCATCCCGCCCCTGAATTACCTGTCATCCCTCTCCCAGGAACTCACTCCAGGTGCTGCTCCTAGGTCTGGGCAGTAGGCTGGGCCTGGCCCCAGAAGCAGGGCGGCTCCTGCCTGCTCCTCACTTTTGTAAAGCCAACCCTTTTACCAGAGTAGTGTTAACTCCTGGTGCTTTTACTACTGGTCCAGCTGTCTTGGGCTCCTTTTCTATATTAATAAAGAAATGAGTTTAAAACTGCTGCTGCTGATAATCATATCGCATCCAAGAGTGCTTGTGGCACTGACTTCACAGGTATCCATGTGGTACCTGAATCAGAGGTGAGCTCTGAGAGGTCCCTAATTACACATCACTGCCTCTTCCAGTTAGTGCCCATGTGCCCTCCAGACCAGCATGGATCCCTGGCCAACCTCTGGTAATGCAAGAGGAGTCGATCCAGAGGATGGATGGTTCTTCCCCCATTCACAGGGGAGCCGCGTGCTCCTCACTGCTCAGCTGATGTGCTAAGTTCAGTGGGCCTGTTCTCAGAGTAACTCCTCTCCCTCTGGATCTCAGCTTAAATCTTCCCCTGTTTCCTCAGATTAGACTTGGACCCCATATTGTGTGTCTCTGAAGTACACCTTACTGCCCTTTTTGTAAAATTTGTAAACTTAGGATTACTTATTTAATGACCCATCTTTCCTCCCTCAATATAAACTACATAAGGCCAAGGAGTTCATAAATAAATGTTTGATTTGATCAATCCAAAGGAAGTGAGATATGTATACCAAGTGTTCAGCTCCTTACTGATGCCTGTTCTGCTGGCTGGGTTCACTTAGGCCAAGAATTCCAGTTTTAAGGAGCATGTCATGTTGCAAATACCAAAAGCAAATGAACAAAGAATGGATAGACCGAACCCCTCCTAGGATAACTACAAAGCTCTAATCCACCTGAGGACTCTGTCTTATCTCCCAATATGGAAAGAGGAAAGGTTGTTAGAGTTTAATATGTTCCAAGCACTAGGTATAATAATAAAGTCCGGCCCCTGCCTTTGTGAGAAGTTCCAGTCTACTTGGAGAGACACAGATTGTTAAATAAACCAGGTGTGGTGATGCATGCCTGTAATTCCAGCACTCAGGAGGCTGAGGCAAGATAATCAATGTAAGTTCAAGGCCAGCCTGCACTACATACTTAGACCCTGTCTCAAAAAAAAAATTTGCAGCTGAAATGTGCTGGCCAGGAGAGGCTGGGAAAGCCCTGAGGGTGAGCAGGTGAAGTGAGGAAAAGGACCTCTGGAGAGGACAGCAACTGACCATGAGAGCCCCTTAGGGAAAGCAGCTCTGGGCCAATCTGGGGAGGACAGTAGGGACCAGTTCAGGCTGCCCCTCTGTCCACATGAAGAGTGTGCTCATCCTAAAAAGCGATGGAGAGAACTGAGCAACAGTTGGAGTGAGACAGAGTGAGACAGACTGAGACTGAAGCAGCCACCCCGGCTGTGCTGGCCCATAGCTTGGGGGAACAGGATCTCCCTGAAGGAGCACTTTGAGGCCACTACTGCACTCCCAACCAGAGAGGCTGGTAGTTTGCACCTGACTGGTGGCTGGTGGACACAGGAGAAAAACTCAAAAGATGTTTGGGAAGTAAAATCAGAGGGACTCTATTACCCTCCTAAAGAATGGGCCAAATGACACCATGCAGTAGGTGTCAAAGCTGCTTGCTTAAAAAAAAAAAATAGGGTGGTTTTCTGTTTGATTTGTGTTTGTTTCGTATTTGGGTATCAGGCATTGAACCCAGGGCCTTCACACTGAGCTACGTTCTCAACCCCCCTCACTCCTTTTTTTTTTTTTTTTGAGACGGTCTCACCAAGACTAAGCTCTCACTTGTCATTCTTCTGCCTCAGCCTCCTAGAGTTCTGGAATTACAGGCATGTGCCACTATGCCCAGCCTCCAGGGTGCTTTCTTAGAGTGTAAACTCCTGGGATATATTCAGTAGATCTGGCTTAAATCTGCATTTCAGTGCATTCTGTAGAAGATCCTGAGGACCAGAGTCTGCAGGCCTGATCTAAGAGGCTGTGCGTCTCTAACCCTTGACTAGAGACCTCTAGGGAGACTTTGGGCTTCTCTCCAAAGTCCATCCTGAATCACTTCTCTTTGGAAGGCACACAACAAGCTGATCAGATTTTCCCAAACCCAACACAATGCAGATGTGCCCTTGGGAACAAATGCAGACACCCACGGAAGGTCCCTCAGGGAGCTGTATGCTGGGATCCAGCGAAAGCTGGACACGGGGCCACTATACAAGAACAAAGACACAGGCTCCTTCTAAAAGGCATTCTTAACACTCCCAGGGCTGGACACAGAAGTCCTGCTGAACATAGCAGCCAGTTGGCACCATTCCTGGTAGACTCTTAAGGATTTATGGTGAGCATGCAAGCGATAAGGAGTCTCCTCCAAGGCCTACTGTCTTGCTCACTTTCTCATTGGTGGGACAAAATGAACATCATCCACAGTTTAAAGAAGGAGAGGTTCATTTGGATTCACTGTTTCAGCCTATGCTCAGCTGACTTCAAAGAAAAAACAGAATGGCAGAGGCGCAGCCAGGCTGCAAAGCAGGAAGGACCTTCAGGGCCAGGCCCCACCTCCTAACAGGACATTGGGCTCCTGAACTCGTCAGTGATGGATGTGGTGCCTCCTAAAATCCAGTCACAAGATCCAGTCCATGAGCCATTTAGGGCCATTTGAGATCTAAGCCACAAAACCTAGTAATCTTTTTTAAAAGGAGAGCTTCTGGAATATTTCTGCAAGCAGGGAGGGATCCCAGGTTCCTGAGGCACCTCGGCCTGTGGTGAGTGGCCAGCACAGTCTGCCCAAATCTCAGACTGTTCCAGACCCCCCAGGCTTCTGGGTGCAGTGAAGTGGAGCAGTGGGTTAGACGCCACTACTGCCGCCTCCCCATCCCGGCTACACCTGGAGGTCTGTGGAGCTCACCGGGTGGGCGGGCCTACACTATCCCCCGAGCCCAGCCGTGCCTAGCCACCTGCGTGCAGAGGAGGAGCTGGGCGGATCCGGAGTGCCTGCAGAAGCCCCTTCCTTTGTCTGGAGGAGTGAATATTTCTGCAAGCAGGGAGGGATCCCAGGTTCCTGAGGCACCTCGGCCTGTGCCCAGCCGCGCCTAGCCATCGGTGTGCAGAGGAGGAGCTGGGCAGAGCCGGAGTGCCTGCAGAAGGCCCTTCCTTTGTCTGGAGGACTGTGGATACCTATGCAAGCAGGGAGGGATCACAGGCTCCTGAGGCACTGTGGCCTGTGGTGAGTACCCTAACCCGGCTGCGATTCAAAAGCTGTGGATCTACCAAGGGGCAGGTGGGCGCACAGTGTCCCTGAGGCCCAGCTTGTCTGGAACCTCGGAGTTCTGAACAAGCAGAGGAGGGCCATTGGTTCTGCAGGCCCAATGGCCTGGGGTAGTATGGTGCCAGAGTCTCAGTAGCTGCAAACATAGAAGGGGATTTTCAATAGATCCTGAGGAGGCTTTCAAATAACACTTGAAACACAGAAATATAGGAAAATGACAAAACGAAAGACCAAATTACAACCTCAAACCTCCAGCCCATCTCATGAAACCCTAGGAGGAATGTATTTAGAAGAAAATATATCCCATCCTCCTCATATATCAGACACAATAGCTACTGAAGTTGACAAGCAACTCCAGGAAGCTTTAAAGAAATTCAAACTTGAAATAATATCCCAGATAAAAGAAGAAATGATAAAAGAAATGAAAGAGATTCTAAATATATCTAAAGAAAACACAGATAAAAAATTGGAGGAACTAAACAAAAAGATAGAATCCCTAGATGAGCAATATAAGAAACAAACAGAATACATAATGCAGATGCACAGAGATATACAGGAAATAAAAAACTCCACTGAAAGTTGTAAAAACTGCCTTAATGAAAGTGAAGATAGAATTTCAGACCTTGAAGACAGGATTGCAGCTAGTGAACAGGAAAGGAAAGATCTTTTCAAAATAACAAGGAATCAGGAAACAACAATTCAACAACTGCAAGATGATGCAAAGAAGAATAACATAAGAATGATAGGGATTAATGAAAAAGAAGGAGACAACATAAAGGATATCAAGAGGATATTTAGAGAAGCAATAGCTGAAAACTTCCCAAGCATGAGATCAGAAACTGACATCAGGATCAGTGAAGCATATAGAACTCCAAATAGTCATAACCAAAATAAAACTACACCCAGACATATAATAATCACCATCCCAGAAATCCAACACAAGAATAGATTATTAAAAGCTGTCAGAGAGAAAAGACAGATCACTTATAAAGGAAAACCTATCAGAATCACAGCAGACTTCTCATCACAAACAATAAAGTCAAGAAGAGCATGGAGTGAAGTATTCCAGATCCTAAAGCAAAATGATTTCCAACCTAGACTGATATATCCTGCAAAACTATCATTTAAAATAGATGGTGAAATACGATACTTCCATGACAAAGAACAGCTGAAGAACTTCATGAACACCAAACCAACCCTGCAAAAAATATTGAAAGACAGTTTAGATACACAAAGGAAAAAACCACTAAGCAAAGCAAATAATTAAACAGAACAGAAAGATAAAGATGCAACAGCAGAGAGATAAGAATCCTACAATTAACCAACATTTAACAGTAATAACCATTAATGTAAATGGTCTCAATGCACCAACCAAAAGAAACAGACTAGCAGAATGGATCAAGAAACAAAATCCAACCATATGCTGTTTACAGGAAACCCATCTAACCCAGAAGGATACTCACAGACTGAAAGTCAAAGGATGGAAAACAATTCTTCATGCAGCAGGAATCCAAAAAAAGGCAGGAGTAGCCATTCTGTTTGCAGACAACGTGAACTTTAAACCAACAATGACCATAAAGGATAAAGAAGGTCACTACATACTCGTAAGGGGAAAACTCCAAGAGGAAGAGATAACTATCTTAAATATATACACACCAAACTCCAGAGCGCCCAGTTATATAAAACAATTTATTAACAGAAATGAAAACTCAAATTATCAGTAACACAATTGTAACAGGAGACCTTAATACGCCATTGACACCAAGGGACAGATCGACCAGACAGAAAATGAGTAAAGAAATAACAGAACTGAATCATACCTGTGAACAAATGGGTTTGATAGACATATACAGAATGTTCCACCCAACAACATCAGAATACACATTCTTCTCAGCAGTACACGGATCATT